GTAATCTAGATTATGCTAAAGTAAGGAAATAAGAAATAATTTAAGCATTATGGTATAGTGGATAAAGTACTGTAATTGGAAGCAGGAAGACCTGGGCTAGAATTCCACCTCAGATACCAGGCAAATTATTTAACCTTTCAGTCATTCATTCAGTACACATTTATTAAATACCCACTATATGCCAGAAACTGTGCTAAGTGCTAGGGTGTACAAAAAGAAGCAAAAGATAGTCCCTACCCTTAGGGTTGGGACGGCTAGGTAAAACAGCAGACTGGGTCTGGAGTCAGGAAGACTTGAGTTCAAAATTGGCCTCAGATACATATTAACTGTCTGACTCTGGGCAAGTCACTTAACCCTGTTTGCCTTAGTTCCTCATCTGTAAAAATCAGCTGGGGAAAGATATGGCAAATCACTCCAGTATCTTTGCCAAGAAAACCCCAAATGGGGTCACAGAGAATTAGACATGGCTGAAGTGACTGAACAACAACAAAAGCCCTCGGGGTGCTCACAATCTAAAGGGAGAGACCACGTGCAAACAAATTTATGTACAGGATAAATGGAGGTGGGGATTAAAAGAAGGAAAGAAGTAGAATTAAGAGGTAGAAAGTGAGATTTTAGTTGGGACCTAAAAGAAGCTAGGAAGATTAGTAGTTAGAGGAGAGTAGGGACAGTGTTCCAGGTATAAGGGACAGCCAGAGAAAATGCCCAGAGACAAGAAATGGAGTGTCTTCTTTGTGGAACAGCAAGAAGACCACTGTCACTGGATTGAAGAGTAGGTATTGGGAAGAAAGAAGACTGGAAAGGCAGGAGGGGACTAGGTTATGAAGAGCTTTGAATGTCAAACAGAGCATTTTTTATATTTGATGCTGGAGGCAATAGGAAGCCACTGGAATTTACTTGGGGTAGGTGTTACATGATCAAACTTGTATTTTAGGAAAATCACTTTAGTGGCTGAATGGAGGATGGATTGGAGTGAGGCAGGCAGACCTACCAGCAGGCTGTTGCAATAATCGAGGTGTGAGATCATGACGGTCTGTGCTAGAGGGGTGGCAGTGTCATAGGAGAGAAGGGGACATATTGGAGAGATGCTGCTAGGTGGAATCAAGGGGCCTTGGCAACAGAATGGATGTGGGGGGGTGAAAGACGCTAAGGAATCCAGGATGACACCTAGGTCGTGAGTCTGAAAATGATGTTGCCTTCTACAGAGACAGGTAAGGTGGAGGTGGCAGGAAGGGTAGGGGGGAAATAATGGGTTCTGTTTATGACATATTGATTTTAAGATGGCTACTCGACATCCACTATGAGATGTCTGAAAGGCAACTGGAGATATAAAATTAGAGGTCAGCAAAGAGACTGGGGCAAGAAAGGTAGATTTGAGAATCATCAGCATAGAGATGGTAAATCCATGGGAGATGATGAGATCACTAAGTTAAGAAGTTGGAGGTCAACAAATAGATTGGAATAGAAAAGGTAGAGTTGAGGATCCTTATCATTTTGTTGTTGTCATTCAGTTGTTTTAGTCATGTCTGACTCTTTGTGACCCCATTTGCGGTTTTCTTGGCAAAGATATTGGAGTGGTTTGCCATTTCCTTCTCCAGTGGCAAACAGAATATGTGACTTGCCCAGGGTCACAAGCATCTGAGGCCAAATCTGAATTCAAGTTTTCCTGACTTTAGGCCCAGCACTTTATCCACTATGCCACCTAGCTGCCTCATTAACACAGGGATAGTAATTCAATCCATGACAGCTAATGAAATCAATAATAAAGAAGTAAAGAAGGAGAAGAGAAAAGGCTCCAGAGCAGAACCCTGAGGGACACCTAAGGTTAGAGGGTGTGATCTGAAGAAGGATCTCAAAAAGTAGACAGAGGAGTGGTCAGATAGGTAGGAGGAAAGCCAGGAGAGAGTGGTGTCCTAAAAACCCAGAGAGAAGAGAGTATCAAGGAGTAAAGAGTAATCAGCAGTGTCAAAGGCTACAGAGAGGTCAAGGACATAAGGATTAAGAATATGCCACTGGATCTGGCATTAAAGAGACCATTAGTAACTTTGGAGAGAGCCGTTTCAGTAGAATGATAAAGTTGGAAGCCAGATTGTAAAGGTTTAAGAAAGAGAGAGAAGAGAGAAAATGAAGGCACCTATTGTAGACATCTTTTTGAGTTTAGCTACAAAGGGCAGAAGAGATAAAGGATGATAGTTAATAGGGACAGAAGAATCAAGTGAATTTTTCAATAGGGGATAGGACAGACATGGGCATGTCTGTTGGTGGTAGAGAATAAACCAGTAGAGAGAGAGAGATTAAAAGTAAAAGAGTAGGGATTACAGAGAAGGCAATCTGTTGGAGGAGATGGGATGGAATGGGATCACTTGAACAAGTAGAGGGGTTAGCCTTGTTAAGAAATAAGGTGACTTCATCATATAAAACAGGAATAAAGGAGGAGAAAGTAGTAGATGGCACTTGAGTGAGAAGAGATGGGGAAGAGAGGAAAAGAAGTGAATGGTGAATGGCCTCAATTTTTTTCTAAAAAATATGAGGTAAGATTCTCAAATGAGAGAGTAGGGGGAGGGGAACCCTTGGGAAGTTTAAGGAGGGGTGAAGGTTTGGAAGAGCTGTTGTGGAGAGTGGGATAGTAATTTGATAAGAGATGTATAATAGCATTGCCTAGCAGCAGTGAGGGCTCAGCTGAGGTTATGTAACATAAATTTGTAGTAGACCTAGCCAGAACAGTTGAGTGGGTGATTTCTCCACCTTTGTTCTGCAGCACATGTGTAGGCATGAAGGTGGGAGTGATTTGAGCCTAAATGTTGGTTGGGTATAGTCAGTACTCTAGGGATTCAAGAGAAGAGGACAGTGTAGAGTTGAATTGGTTCACCAAGCAGTCAAGATGGGGAGAAGAGGAGAGAGTGGCTAGTGCAGGGGAGATGGCCTGGGAAAGTACTGAAGGGTCAAGGGACTGGAGGTAATAGTGAGGATAAAAATCAGGGTTAAACAAGGGAAGGCAGAGGGAGTGGTGAAAAGCCAGTAGATTAAGGTAGGATAAGGAGATTTTGGAATTCTTGAATGTGAAGACATTTATGGGTGATGGCAAGATCAATGCTATGACTATCTTTGTGTATGGCTGAGATGGGATGGAGGAGGGACTCATGGAAGATAGAGAAACTGAGTGGTTAGAGTATTTGAGGAAGAATCAAAATGTATATTGAAGTCTTTTAGTATAAGGGCAGGAGTTTGGGAGGAGAGAAAAATTGTAAGCCAGGTATCAAAATCATTGAAGAAGGAAGGGTAGTGACCAAGGGATCTCTAGACAACAGCTACCAGGATTTTGATTGCATGGAAGATATGAATAACATGAACCTCAAAGGAAGAGAGGTTATTGACTAAAGGAGGAAGGGAGAGAACCTGGAAGTAGCAATAGGGAGCAAGGAGTATTCCAATTCCCTTGCCTTGACCAGTGAGTAGAGGAGGATGAGTGAAGGTGCAGCCAGTACTGGAAAGGGTGGCCAGGGAGGCTATGCCATCATAGGAAAGTCAGGTTTCAGTAAGAATTAGTAGATGCAAAGAGTGGGAGAGGAAGAGATTTAAGATGAAGGGAAGTTTTTTGCCCATCAAACAGGCATTCCATAGGGTACAGTAGAAGGGCTGGGTAGAGTTAGGCAGAAATCTGATTCTCAGTTTCATCATCTATAAAATGGGGATGATGATAGTACCTACCACAGGGAGTTATTGTGAGGACTAAATAAGATGACATATGCAAAGCATTTTGCAAGTCCTAAATTGCTACATAAATGGTAAGCTAATACTCTAGTAGAATATAAGTTCATTCAGACCCAGGATGGTGTCACTTTTGAATCTGTATGACCTGGCACAGTGTAACCACTTAATGTTTTCCAAAAAATTCATAGTACATAGGCCTGGGAAGAATATAATTCACCTCTTTTGAGGTCCTTATTTTGTAACTTATTTTAATGATGGGTATTCCCTGTATTAAAAGGTCTCTCAGAACCAATGGAGGAATCTCACTAAAAACATTTGAATATGCTTATAGCACTTAATGTATACAAAGCCATTACAATAATTTGGTGGTAATAATAATAACAACAACAAACACTTATGTAGTAAAATTTAAGCTTTTAGTACTTGCTGGCAGGATATCATTTGATCTTTGCATCTCATTAGGTAGCTACTAGTCACCTGGTTGTGGCCTACAGTGGATGAATGAAGTGGATGAATGAAATGAATGAATGAATGAATGAAATCCTTCAGTATCTGGACAAGTAGCCTAGGCCCCACCTACCAAGAATATAAATTAGGACTTTAGGGAGCAGGAGGGTTACTGTAACAAGTTCAACTTGCAGTTGCTTAGATGATAACTAAAACAGGCTGCAGTTACACAACTGACAACTGAAGAAGACCTTAACTAATTCTTCAAACCTAGACACCAAATCCATAGTCCTTTGCTGGAAAAGAAACAGCCATGTGGGTGGGAATTGGGTTTTTTTTTCCAATAATTCTTCATCCTGGAATTCAACAGCCAAAGTCAACAAGCCTTGCAAAATTCCTGTACTATGGAGAGTATGAAGCGAGAACAGGAAAGGAATCCTTTAGCAGAATTATTTGCACTATGCTGGCTTGGAGCAGCTAGGGTTGAAGGGAAGATGGAATTGACTGCAAGGAACTAAAGACACAAGGGGATACAGAGGTCTTAGCAACATTCCTTTCTAATTCTCTGGGGAGCATATTTCAGGTCACAGTTCTCTATCTCCAGCAAGTTCTTGTTAAGGCCAAAACAAGCAAACAAAAGATTCCCTTTTGTGGGTCCTGATCTTTGAGTCTAAAGTAACGAAGAAAAAACTAGTTCAATGGAAACCCAATCTCCCCCTGTGCTTTTCTGGGGGAGGCCAACAATGATCTCAGGCTTAAACATCAAACCAAAAAACTCTCCTTCTGGGGCTGTCAGGTTCCAGTCAATTTGAAAACAACTGCTCACTAAGCTTTGAGCCTTCCCCTGAGGAGGATCCCCAACTGTCTTCAAGTCCAAGACTCACCCAGCCACTTCTACTTTCAGCAGTAACTCTGGGTAAGTCAATTATAACTGAATGAGGTTTCTTTGGAACCCACAGTGAAAAATGCACTCTACCTCCAGAGAGAGAATTGATGAACTCTGAGTGCAGACTGAAGCAATTTTTTTCTTACTTTCCTTTTTTTCTCATTTGTGTGCATGTGTTTTCTTTTGTAATGTGGCTAATATCGAAATATGTTTGTGTGTGTGTGTGTGGAGAGAATTTGGAACTCAAATTTTTTTTAATGAATGTTTAAAACTTTTTAAATTGGGAAATATTTAAAATATATATGTATGTGCATATGTATATATATACATATATACAAACACATTTATGTACACACACATACACATGTATATATTAAAAACAAGTATACATATATTAAATATATTACATATTAAAATATATGTTTAATTAATTAAATTAATTAAACATAAATATTAAATATATGTGTGTATATATACATACATATATATGTATCTGTGTGTGTATACATATATATACACACACACATACACACACACACACACACACACACACACACACACACACATATATATATACACACACACACCCCATATTTAAAGAACTCCTTTGGAGAAACTCCCAGGGCTGTTGTTCAAAAAATATCTTCCACCATACGCCAGAACAGAAAACCATTATGGGTAGAGTTGATCAAGATAATAACTAGGTATTTCAGGAGATCTGGCTTTCTACAAATGAAGGTACTTAAGAAGCCATCCACCCCAGAACTTTACCCTCTGACAAACGTTATTTATGGTAAAACAGAAACATCTTTTAAAAATCTATAAGGATAACTAGATACTAAGCAGGAGTAGGAAATTGATTACTTTCAATTAGCTGTTCAGTAGTGATGAGTCTTTTATGAACAGCTGCTCCACCTAGTTTCTAGTTTGTTTTGAAGAGGAGACAGGATTTTCTGTCATTGTTGAATCAGATAATAGTACTTACTAGAAGTTTTAGGTATTTTTGCTCTGTTTATTTACTTTATCATGGCTTATTCTTGGCATCTCTCTCTTAGCCTCCCAAACAAGAGCTACCAACAAATGGCCCTTGAGATCCCTAAACACAGAAAGTTCTGTATGGTATATACAATAAGCTTTAGAAATTTCAGGTAATTTTTAAAAATAATTTAAGCAAATTAAAATTATTCTATTTGATTATTTTTATTGTTTTTAGTATTTTGTGACATCTTGGGATAAATAATGAGATTTACTTAGTTCTTTAAGGTTCACAAGCATTCTTCACAACTCTGGGGATTATTTTAGCTGACCACTCCACCTCCCTAGTCTTTTTACATCTCATCCCCTCCTCCCCACATACTCTTTAATCTAATGACAATGCCTTCTTCCTTTTCCATGAACCAGACACTCCATCTTTCTGCTCCAGATACTTTCTCTGGCTATCTCCCATGTCTAGGATGCTCTCCCTCCTCATCTCTATCTCGTTGTTTCCCTGGTCACCTATCAGTCTCAATTATAATCCTACCATCTACAGAAAGCCTTTCCCAATCTCTCTTGATTTCCTATTTATTATATATACAGCTTGTCTGTACATATATGTTTGCCTACTGTCTCCCCCATTAGACTGTGAGCTCCTCAAGAGCAGGCATATTTTTTTGTCTTTCTTTGTATCCCCAGTGCTTATCACAGTGCCTAGCACATAGTAGGTATTTAACAAATAACTATTAACAGACTGAGTTTCAAGATAAAATGAAGTAATGTTTTTAAAGCACTTTATAAACCTTAAAGCACTACACAAATGCTAGCTGTTGTAACAAGTATTACTATCCCCATTTTATAGATAAAGAAATAGATAGAGGCTGAAAGAGGTTAAGTGATTTGCCCAAAGTCAGAACTAAAAGTCAAAATACAGGTCTCTCCTAACTCCAAATTCAGTTTTCTTTCCACTTGATCACAATGTTCCTCTCCTATGACGAAGTGAAAGGGTCACAGATTCTCCAAGTTGGGAGAGACCTCAGAGGTCATTTCATTCAGCCCGAACTAGAATTCTCTCTAGAATATCCCTGACACATGTTCATTTAAGTTGAATGTTAAAGATCTTCAGCAAAGGGGAACCTTCTTGGGAAACTCAATTCCATGCTCAGCTCCAGTTATTAGGAAGCTTGTCCTTATATTTAATCTAAATTTTGTTGCTCAGTCATTTCAGTCATGTTTGACTCTCTGTAACCCCATTTGGGGTTTTCTTGGCAAAGATACTGAAGTGGTTTGCCATTTCCTTCTTCAGCTCATTTTACAGTGAGGTAACTGAAGCAAGCAGTTTAAATGATTGGCCCAGGGCCACTCAGCTAGTAAGTGTCTCAGTTTGATATCATAAAGATGAGTCTTTCTAACTGTAGGCCTGGCACTCTAACCACTATGCTAAATCTACCATTCTCCTTCCACTCATCTTTATTGACAGCTAAGATATCCTTAGTAACTGTTCTCCTCTCCAAGCTAAATACCCCTCGTTCCTTCAATTAATCTTCATATTGTAAGGTCGCCAGTCCCCTTACCAAGTGTGGCACCCAGAACCCAACATAATACTCCAGATACAGTATGACCTGAGCCAAATACAAATGGATTATCACCGCCTTCATCCTGGAAATGTGACTGTTAAAACAGCCTAAGATTACATTGACTTTTTTTTGCTACTATGCTACATTGTTTACCTAGATAGATCAACAGGTGAGAATACAGAATTGCAGCTTTAGAGCTGAAGTCATCTTAAAGATCATAAGGCTGCAGGTTTGAGCTCTTTATCTGCCAGAACACAGGTTTCATTTAATGGCTATCGATCTAATCTAAGACAGCTTTGAAAATACACACACACACACACACCACACACACACACACACGAAAAAAACAAAGTGATTTACTTACTGATTCCTTGAAAGAGTTCCTCAATGTTAATAGCACATTTTGCACTGGTTTCAACTACAACTGCACCTATGGATTCAGCATATTCCTTAGCATCCTTCATAGGAACCTCCCTGGAAAAGAGGTAAAACACATGTAGTAATAATTTGTAAAGAACTTAGTATTTAGGAAAACAATTCTCATCCCATCCAATCTCAGTGTGATAGAAGTAGCCTCTCCATTCATTCAGCAAGTATAGATGTACAATGGCAAGTGCTGATATGGATAAAAAAGAAATCAACAACCTGGTCCCTGCCTTCCAGAATATTCTAGCAGAGTCCAGTTCTTACCACTTTGCTTAGCATATAGCAGGCACTTAAAATGTTTATTGGTTGATTGAAGGGAAAAGATAAATATAGATTTATCGCTATTTCTTAATTTCCTCTGGAGGACAGCATTCCTAAACAGATAAACTAGAGCATATATTTACGCAAAAAGCGTGTCTGTGGGAAATATTTTGTTGCTGTTGTTGTTGTTCAGTCTTTTTCAGCTGTGTCCAATTTTTTGTGACCTCATTTGGGGTTTTCTTGGCAAAGATACTGCAGGGGTTTGCAGGGTCTTGAAGAGTCAGACACATCTGAACAACAACAAATTGTGGAAAATTAAAGGGAGGAAATATGTGAAAGGAGTTATGTGGTCACACTCCTCTGGGCGAAGTTTTGTTTCATAATGCCCTTCTAAAATGTGGCACCCAGAACAGAACATAATGAATCAGTAACCATTTATTAAGCATTTTCTACCATTCAGGCACTGTGCTAGGCACTGGTGATACAAAGAAAAAAAGAGAAACAGTCCCTGCCCTCAAAGAGCTTACCTTCCATTTGGGAAGGACAGGGAAACACCTACAAGTATAAGAAACATAAAAAAATAGAAAACAACTTGGGGAAGGTAGTTTCAGGAAGATAGGAAAGTGTTGTTTTGTTTTGCTTTTTTTTCTTTGCAGAAAATAACATGTGAGCTGAGTTTTAAATGAATAGGAGATTCTAAGAGATGTAGGTAAGAAAGGAGAGCATTCTAGACTTGGGAGACAGCTAGCGAAAAGGTACAGAAACAGGAGATGGGGGGCATTGTGTGAGAGAAGGAGCAAGGAGGAAGTTTGGTTAGTTTGAAGAGTTTAGAAAAGGGAATAAGGTATTAAAAAAGATTAAAAATATGTGTTGGAAATGTGTTGTGAAGACCTTTAAGAGCCAAAGAGAAGAGTTTGGCTTCACAAAACCTTGCATAGTTATTAAGGAAACTGAAAACTTCTGAATAATTTGTATTATCTAAAAATGGAATAAGGAGCCTTCTGAGGTAGTAGGTGCCTACTGTATGAGACACTGTGCTGGGTACTACGGTTACAAACATGGATGGAAGACAAACTTTGTCTTCAACATGCTTAGAGTCTAATAGGGGGAAAGACATGCATGCAAAAAATCACAATGTGAAAGAAAATGTGGTAACTATGAAGAAAAAAGGCCTTGGCGGATGGGAACGATAAATTTCAACTAGAAATGGGTTGTGATCAGGGAAGGGGTCATGAAGGAGGTGGCACCTGAGTTGGGCCTTGGAGAAAAGGAGAGATTCCAACAGATGGACCTGATGAGGGCTATGAAAGAGAATGCTATAAAGAAATGAGGGCGGGGAGGCATGAGCAAAGGCGTAGAATCAGAATAGAAAAGGAGAAGAACAAGAGTCAAAGAACAGCCAAGTGAAAATGGAACATGGGGCACGTGAAGGGGGTTAATATGATACAAGGCTAGAAAAAGAAGTTCAAACCAGATTACAAAAAGCCTAAGATGTCAAAATTAGGATTTTATACTTAATAATAATAGCCAACACTTTTATATAGCACCTACTATGTGCCAGGATACTATGTTCTAAGTGTTTTATACGTATTATCTCATTCGATCCTCATAACAACGCTGGGAGGGAAGTGCTATTATAGTTCCCATTTTACAGTTAGGAAAACTGAGGCAGAGAATAGTTAGGTGACTTCCTCAAGGTCACACAACTAAGTAAATGTCCCAAGCCATATTTGAACTTTTCCAGACTCTAGGCCCAACTCTCTACCCACTGTAGCATCTAGTTGCTTCTTTATTTTGTAGTTAATAGAGAGCCAATAAAGTTTTTTGAGTAGAAGATTGACATGATCCAAAATATTAGAAAGCTTATACATGCAGTGATGTGAAGGAAGGATGCATTAGTGAGGGAATAGGCCAGAGGCATTAAGACCAATCATTAAGGCAATACTAACAGGCAAGATGTTATAAAGAACAAAAGTAGACATATTGTAGTAGAAATGGAAAGAAAGCATAGATTTAAAAAAACAGCCTAAGCTGAACTGGATATGGGAAATGAAAGAAAGGGAAGAGTCAAAAGATGACTTTGAGATTATGAGACTTGGTCCCAGGCAGGATGATCACGCCTTAAATTAAAAGAGCAATAGTAGGGACAAGAGCAAGTGTTGACGGTAAATGGTAAGTTCAGTTTTGGTAATATTGAGTTTGAGATGCTGGTGAGGCATTCAGATGGTAATATCTAGCAGGCAGCTGGAAATTAAAAAAAATTAGCTCTAGAGAGGCAATTCTTAATCTTTGTGTGCATCACGGACCCCTTCTTAGAATAACATATTTAAATGGTTAAATTAAGACACAGAATACAAAAGGAAACCAATTACTTAGAAATAAAGATATAAAACTACATATTTTTAAACTCAAGTTCACAGACAACAGGTCATCCTGCTCTAAGGCAAGGAATTTTTCTACCTCCAACAGCATTTGTAGTAGAGCAAAAAGAACATAAAATTTAGAGTTAGTAAATCTGGATTTGAATAATGGCTCTGTTGCTCTGTTACTCTGTTAAGAGAACTCAGCATGCCTTTAGTTAAATCAAATAAATTCTTTAGGCTTCAGTTTCCTCCTCTCTAAAATGAGAATTGGCTGGTCTTTAGAATCTCCTAGCACTAGATGTTATGATGATCCTGAGTTATATATGAGACCCACAGTTCAGGTGCTGCCATTCAGATCAATAACCCTGACTCATTCAGTCCTGATACTCAGATACTCAAATAGATCTGGGATCTCTTCAACTGAGTCTTTTTTGCATCATGTGAATTGCAACCCATCTGTGCCTGTACATCTTCTGCAACTCAAGACTCAATTCAAATCTTACCCTATGCAGGATGCCTTTCCTGGCTCCACCAACTAGGAGTGATTCCCTTCCATCTACTCTGTATATACACACACACACACACACACACACACACACACACACACACATATATATATATCTTATCCATACAAAGTTGTTTGCAGGTTGTCTCTCCCATTAGAATGTGAACCCTTTAAGGGTAGAGACCTTGTTTTTACATTTCTTTGTATTCCCACACTTGGCACAGTGCCTGGTACATCATTGGTGCTTAAATACAAGACTATTCTAGACATACTTTGAGTCTCCCCTAATTAGTAACACAGGCCATACTGTTCTTAAGATTCAAGCTAAAGAGTGGGGAGCTAAATATCATTACATTTACAATCATAGAATGATTCCAATAATGAAATCTGGGAAACGCTTATTAATTGTTATACATATCCAACTCTAAGTCCATCATAGGGAGTCCACTCAACTTTTTGTAGGCCCTCTTCACTTTCTCTTGTCATGTGATGAGCTCATCTTCTAAGGCCCCTTTCAAATCTAAATCTATGATTGATCCTATGACTTTTATTCAAATCCATATGGTCTTAGGTATGTCACTTCCTTTCTAGGACCCAGTTTCCTCACCTATAAAATGCAGGAGTCATACTAGAAAGTCAAAATGGCGAAGTGGTGAATACTGGACTTCCATCCTGACTCTGATACTTATTAATTATGTGACCACAGGCAAGTCACTTAACCTCTCTTACCTCAGTCTCCTCATCTGTAAAATGAGGAAAATAATGCCACTTAACTCAAAGATTTATGAGGATTAAGTGACATAATGTATATAGTGTTTTGCAAGTTTTGAAGTGCTACATAAATATCAGCTGTTATTTTCATTAGATTATCTCTAAGGCACCTTCAAATGCCAAAGTAAGGACAAAAATACCTGTAGTACTTTCCTAACAGGATTGTTTTCAGGAATTAATGAGATAATGTATGTAAAGTACTTTGTATACTTTAAAACACCATATAAATGTAGGTTAATAATAAATCCTATAGTCCCATAAGTTGTATGTGAGAATGGGAGTTTTGACGATTAAGGTACCCTTTTCAGAAGAAGGTTACATTCCAAGCCCTTTCCCAGCTTAACCATTAAAACAGAACTATTCCATATGTCCTTTGAGGCTCCCCTAATTAGTAACACAGGTCATACTTCTAGTAAGATTCAGGCTAAAAAGTGGGGAGCTAAATATCATTACTTAGAATCACAGAATGATTCTGATAACGAAACTGGCATGTTGGAAGCTCACTTTATAATTTTATATTTATAAAGTAACACCTCAGAAAGGTCTGCTGCATCTAGGGCAGTATGAAATAAACAAGCATTTTCACAGTAACAAAGTCAAGATGGTCTTCTGGCTTCTTCCCCCTGCCTCACCCCTAAAACACAGGAAGATACCTTTTTTCACACATGCATTGTATTAAGCATACTATGTTTCTAAACTCCCTAGGATATAAACAACACACAGAAATTTTAAAATTGGCCAAACTCTGGGGAGCTGACATTTACCATTCAAAAAAGGAAAACGTTTTCCTCCCTCTTTACTTTCTTCCCACTATCATGGCCCCTATCCAAGGTCAAGTTTAAAATGGCAAATAAGCTGCCAGTATTGTAGCATGGCAACAGTGAGCAGTATATGGTAGTTAAATGTCTGGTGGAATAGTTTTTGTCACCACCATCCCACATGTTTAAAGTATCTGGGCCAAAAATGATGGGAAATATTCACAACACTCCATCAAAATCCTGCAGAGGCAAGCTGTGGGATGTGTGTGAAGGCTGTTGTGTGTGATGAAGCAGATTCTTATAGCCTTTGCTGATATCAAGGACAGCCACTGAATCCCATTACCTCTTATATTTTCTCTAAATATCCAAGATATTTGTGTGACACAGACG